ATGTGAGATAGTACGCAATACAGTTGATGCACATTTCGCGCTATCCAACGTAACAATAGCTGCGTTTTCTGAATCTGGTTTCTGTTATAATCATCTGGTCATTCATGATTCTAATCATTTATTTTGATGATATTGAAATTTGAGCGAATCAGCACATTGTAATTGAAGTAAAACCATGATGTGTTAATACACTATTGAATTCCACAATGAATTTCCTCAAAAAGGAATAAAATTCTTTTGAATTAGAGAGGAAAATTCACAAATTATGTAATAGCTTTGCAGCGAGGCAAGCATACCCGTAACAAATGATTACAACATGGTAGTGAAGATGAGGAGGACGACGAATGTTGTTGTCATAAAAATTGACATGAGAAGATGAGGGGTCGACGACGAATTACAGAGATTCGTGTGACATCCACAAATGGCTAGACGCGACGGTTCTAGTTCTTGCCGCAGTGCAGTTGGCATGAAAAGTTGACGAGCTGTAGTATCTGAAAAAAGCCAAGTGCTTTGTGTAAAAATAAAGTTCACCTACGATGACAACCTTTTCTGAAAGCGGAAGCAATTTTTGATGCGGTTATGATATCAAGCAATAGGCCACTGTACTACTTTAAAGCTTTTTACATAAGATATCAAAAACCATAAATGCATAGGAAGTTAATCAAAGTCAGTGGACAATTTGTAAAAAAAAAGAACAAAACAATTCGTTGTCCAGTGTCTCGCATCAACCAATTTTTAGCTTCAGGATAACTTCACAGAGATTTTGTTGGAAAGCTCAAAAGCTTAATTTTTTGGAATGGCTTGTTCCAATTACTTTATATCTACAATTCAAGCTATGTAGTATAACAAAACGTGCAACACTCACCGAGGCATCCAGGATGTTCGCTGAGGGCTCGTACTAAACTGTGATTGTATCCATGTATATCAGATAAGCATCCTCGAACATAGCCATGCCTTCGTCGTCCTGCAACATTCACTTGCAGACATATATGTACTTTCATGGTGTATCTCGTATTTCGAATGACAAAAGCAAGTTATTTGATCAAAATAAAGTTGCAACATGGGACAGGTAAAATAACCTAAATTATAGTTGAAAATAGATATATGAGTTTTAACTGAAACTAGATTTGTTAGGC